CTGATTTTTCTTTGCACAGATATTTGTGTGTCGAAAATTTGAATCCCTCCCTTTCTCAATCAACCACAACACTTATCCAACTCGCTGCGGTTGAGTTTGTGTCTATATCTTCAGCTTGTAATATTTATAAGGTCTTTAAAAATGTATGCAAGCTAATATTATCTAAGATAAATTTCCATATTAAAAAAAATTCCCTAAGAATAAATTTAAGCATATATTTAATGTTATTTATTATTTTCTAATGGAGTTGTATTTTGTTGTTGTTATATATTATGGAGTTTTATTATTATTCACTTCGAGTTTTAATATTGTTTATTATATGTGATACTAAGTTTGAATTTTAATAGGAATTCTTTCTATGTGGTACTAAGTTACTCATACATTTTATCTTTGTTTTTTTGGTTAAGCTCATATATTTTATCATATGTATCAAGTGTAATATATTGAAGTAAATTATTATAACTAAAAAATTATGGTGTGTTTAATTTTCTTTCACTAATTACTACATATTTTCTAAAGACACAGTGTTTGTCAAGTCGCTGCATAATCAACTTAAATCACTCAAACCCACCATGCCATGCATTTCCTTCCAATTTTTTGTGATAAAATAATAGACAATTGACTAAGTAACATCCTCTAAAGTTCCAATAAAAATTTCTAAGTTTTTCTCATAATTTCCGTGATTTTTATTCAATTTTTATCGATATTGATATTTCCTTGATATTTCCATCGATATATCCGTATTTTTGGACCACCGATATTTCCGAAACCCCCGATATATTAGACCTTGTTTATAATAAAGATAAATCATTTTATATAATAAATGTTGTTGATAGGTGGTCATGTTGGCCTCAGCACCTCCCAAAACAAGGTCCCACGTGCCCCATAAAGGTAAATATAATAGATTGTTTATTGTAAAAGTAAATTATAATTTCCTTTTGGACTAACGACATTTCATTCCATCGAGGTTTAGGGTTTGTATCGAAATGGGCTCCGATGTTTCAATTTCATCAATTCCAAATCTTGCCTTAACATCCACAATACTTAATATATTGCGCTGCATCAACGAGTGTTTCAACTGTAGGATCAAATGTTGTAGATGAAGCATAATGAAGAAAGGGATCATTGAGGTTTAGGGTTGTTAGACTAGCATTTTATGATGGATTAGATGGTTTTTATTGTTGGTTAATTAGTCCTAAGGTTTCGGTCTTGTTGTTTTGGGTAAATTGATCCTGTATAACTTATGACTCACCTTTTTTTTATGGATGTAATGACATTCACATAAGCTTGAACAAATCTGAATGCAAATATATCCACCACTTGTTATTTTGGGATGGATTTGAAACAGCTTGAAATATGTAATTGTCAATGTTATTCTAAGTTATTCTCTGGATGTTTTGACTTCATTTTCAACATATAATACTTTGAGGATTCAAAGCTATTTTAGCAGTCTTAAAATAGATGTAATCCTCTGCAAATGTTGCCTTCACAATCCCATTTAGCACAAACTTAATATAATACCATACAAATTTCATAGCCATTAACTCTTACATAGCCATTAAACCCTTACAAAATGACACCTCAACACCCAACAACCCACAAGCGCTTCATTCAATGGCAGAGGCCAATTTGAAGCTTCTCTTGTTGTTCACTCTAGATCTGAGCATCCCTCCCAAAATGAAGCTTGCAAACATAACCCATGAAGCCACCAATAACACCCAAACGACCTTTTCTCTTTGTCTTGCCTTCGCCACTGATTTATCAAGCTTATTCCAGCAACCCTTCTTACCCTCATGTGCCTTTACTGCACACATTGAAAATCGCCTCCCAGGATTCGAATATTTCCAAGAGGTTCGAATTGTAACAACCTTGCCACACCAACACTGTTAATGTATGGTTTTTGTTACTTTCTTTTGGCTTCCCTTGACAACTTCGTAATAGGATTTGAATTGTTATTTATCAAGCTCAAGTTTAGATTAAGGAAAACCTTTCTTGGTGTTCTTCTCTAATTTCTGCTCTATGGAGGTTCAAGCAAGTTGACAAAGGTATTATGCATTGCATATCATTACATTAAACAGTCTTCATAAAATGATGACTAGTCATCGGTTTCTTATATGACTAGTCATCCTTGCTTCCAGCTAGATAACAAACTGTTTTGTCCTATTCTTCTTTCTCTCTCTTTGCTGCCATGTGGGTTTCTGACCTAAGGAATTTTTTGGTCTGTAAAGGCTACGATTTTGCTCATTTGGCGATTGTCTCTTTTGGGGTGGAAGTTTTGGAAAGATTGGCTTGCGATCTTTCTCTTCTTCTTCCTCAAGAGAGAACCAAATATTTCATCTATGAGTTTTTCCAATTGATATCTTTTTGAAAAACTGCTTTTGAAACCAGAATCTGCCTCTAGCTATTTAAATCATTCTCTCATTTATATCTAGGTCAGATTCAAGACTGATTTCTTCAAGAGTATGGTTTCTTGAAGAAATTGGTCATTCTCCTTTGAATCCAAATATTGGTTTCGGTCTGTGTTGGAGCTTGCAAGCTAGTGCCATGGGATGAACGAGCTGGAGAAGGAGCTGCCATTGCCATGAAGAACTGAGCTTTAAGTTTTGCTAAGTTGGAGAAGAAGATTGCACAAAGGAGGTATTGCTCATATTCCTAAATAGACCTAGGTGCTTCTTGAGCTTGGTTGTGTTTCCTTTGTAAGAATCTTTTTCTACTTAGTGGATTGCGTGGTCGGTTGATGACTTCCAGTTTTTCCCAATGGTGGGTTTTTGGGTGAACAAAATCTGTTTTGCATATCTATAATTTTTCTGGGTTTGTGTTCTTGGCAGTTGACTAGTCATCTTTATCTGCTGTTTGATGTTTACATGATAATGATGATTTCACACACTTTCACCATAGTTGTTGCTAGCACAGGGGATGCCTAGATTGACGGGTCCTTCTGAGTGCCTAGGTTGTCACTAGTAATCTTCTAGGGTTGCAGGTACATTGTGGCATGCTCTGTGTATTCTCTTGATTGTGATTGTTCATGGCTAGCAGTTGACTAGTCATATGTGTATTTGGTCAAGGTTTAAAGTGTGTGAAGATTGCTGTGTTGTTGTGTCTTGTTTGTGTGATTAAATTTACCCCTCGTCACCTAAGTACCATTTTCAATAACACATCGGCACCTCTTCATCCATTACAGGAATAGATTTGCTTCTTGATCTTCTTCACAACATGAGTTAGGGTACGCTCTGTGAGAAGTTTCCACTGGAATTCATTTTTTGGTTTGAAATGCCCTTCTCATGGCCCATTGGACTAGGCTTTCAGGATATCTAGTGGGTCCCGCAACTGCCACTTTAGCATACAACGTATGACCTAACGGTCAATCTAACAGCCGATGTGAATTCGTTAGATTTTGAACTGATGGGTATGAAATTGATGAAATTGAAACCTTGGGGCCCATTTCGATATAGACCTTAAATCTCATATATAAGGACAGTTCACCAATAATCTATAACATACCGAAGAAACGAAAAAATCTATAAAAACATAATGAAAGCTATGGATTGAAACCTAAAAATCGAACTCCAAATGGTAAATCTAATTATGACAAAAGGATGGTGGTGGGATAGCCATCAATGCTCTGGTGGCGATGGATCTGAATCCTGAGGATAGAACCTTTAAAAAGTTAAACAGACACTACAACTTACATCAAAGACTGAAATTTTTATTTAAGGTTTAAAAATAAGGGGATGGTTTTTTGGTGTGTTAGGACCAAATTTTGGTATATTGAAAATTTCCTGTTACAAAAACATAGAGTAGGTCTTTGAGTGTAACCTACAGTTTTCAAGTAACGTCCTGTTATCCTGGATCAATGTGGCTCAGAGACACTGCCAAGGTACGTTTTGCATCCATGCATTCATATCTACATATTTGCAAGATCATCAAAAGTGGCTGTCAGATGTATAAGACTGATATATGATTTCAGCCTTACATAATCCAGTGCCAGACATTAGTGAGTTTTTAACGATGGTTTTATATTCTTTAGTTTGGTGCTTATTTAATCAAAAGGGTTCTTTTGTCTTTACGGATGGGTTTTTAATTAAGTGGCTTTATTTATTTTAAAGAAATAATTTATTTGTTAAAAAGCCCATTTTTGCTAAAAGCTTGTTTTGGTCTTTGACCTAGTTTTAAGCATGTAATACAAGAAAGGAAATTAGCCGTTTTGTTTTGTGTGTTTGCAACGCTGAAAAGAACAATAAAGACAAAATATTTGCAGAGAGGTTTTTGAGAGTGTACATTGAAAACTCATGGAGGCTAAGTGGCTGTTCCTTGTTAGCCTCCATGAGTGATTAAATCATCATCTTTTCATATATGTGTGAGTTCATGAGCATTATGCATGTTGGTGATCAGCAATCGTGCCTTGAGGTGTGAGCAGCCAAGACCAAAGTTGTGCCATCTCTTGTTGACGAAGGAAGACAAGATTGCTGGTTGGGTTGAGTAGCAAAGGCAAATAGGCAAGTCTGCCTTGTGAGCGTTAGTCTTGTGAGCTGAGACTTGTAAGACCTTTTTGTATTCTTTCTCATAGTGATTTGTTCTTTGGCATAGTGCCCGCAGTTGTTTTCCTCATCTTGAAGTTTTTTACTGCGTCAACATATCGTGTGTCCCTTGTGCAATTGTTTGTTTATTTGAATTTATTCTGCTGCGTATTCTGGATTTTTTGCTTACAGGATTGTTACAGTATTTCAATCCTGCTGTGGTGTTTGAGTATTAAGAAACAGATCAATTGGCCATTCTAGGGAATTTCACGGTGCATATTAAAAGCGTTAGTCTTTAAAAAAATAATAAAACTTTAATTTGAATTGTTTCATATAAAAGCACACCGGGAATGTTGAAAAGTAATCTATTTATATATCAAGAGTAAACCTGCCCCGTTGAAAGGTAGATATAGCTACCCTATAAATAATCTGCATTTGAGCAAGTCATGCAACACGATCATACATTATATCACAAAACCTAAGATGGCTTCCCCTTCCAATAAGCCTCATGCAGTTTGTCTTCCTTTGCCAGCTCAAAGCCATATAAAGGCAATGCTCAAATTAGCAAAACTTCTCCGCCATAGAGGCTTTCACATAACCTTTGTCAACACAGAGTTCAACCACAGGCGATTTCTTAAATCCCTTGGACCTAATTCCCTTGATGGCCTGCCTGATTTTCAATTCGAAACCATTCCAGACGGCCATCCAGAATCAGATGAAGATGCCACCCAAGACTCCACTTTGCTTTGTGAGTCGTTTAGAAATTTCTTGCTCTTGGCTCTGTTTCTTGAGCTCCTCGTAAAACTCAATGAGACGGCAAGTAGTGTTCCTCCGGTGACTTGCATAGTTTCAGACGGTTTCTTGTCCATGTTCACAATCACAGCAGCTGAAGAACTTGGAATCCCTATCACACTGTTTTACACTGTTGCTGCAAGCAGCTTCATGGGCTTTAAACAGTATCGCACTTTGATGGAAAAAGGACTTGCCCCACCCAAAGGTGAATGAAACATCTATATAAATAGTACAGAGATTTTATGCATATGAGATGCCAGCTGACTGTGTTTTTATGCAAGAATAAAACCTAATCAATATATCATAGTTTGCTAGACAGTTTGACACGAGATTTTGTTGTTAAAGTTGCAAATGAATTGTTTCATTGATTCATTAATTCGCTATCAATGTAGATGAGAGCTGTTTGAAAAATGGGTATTTGGACAAGGTCATAGATGGGAGTCCAGGGATGAAAGATATTCGTCTAAGGGATTTTCCAACCTTCATCCAAACTACAAATCATGATGACGTGTTGTTCAACTACTGCATGGAAGCAACAGATAAAGTTGATAAAGCTTCAGCAGTTGTTTTTCTTACATTTGATGTTGAATTATAAGTGCTAAAGCTGATTTCATAATTAGTAGTTTTTCTGTTTATTTGTATTTTCTGGTTTTAATCCAAGTGGCATAGGTTGATTGGTTAGTTTAATGGAAGGCTGAGATTGCATTGTGATGTAACGCATCCAGCTGGCACTGTATAACGGATATACTCTCACACCAAGAGTGTGAGCAAAACTGTACAAAACTCTGGCAGTCTAATAGAAGGAGTACGCTCTCTCTGCTACACGTATAGCAGAGGAGATTTGGATTTCATCTTGCTCTCTCTTTTCTCTTCTTACCAAAACTCACACACTGAATCACAAAAAACACTAACATGGCCTCATAGCCAGGTTGGATTATCTGAAGCTGGGCGTTTACTCTGTGAAGAAAATCGTTTGAGGTAAAGCTCATTCGTAGCTCAAGAAGCTGATTGAGCTTACTCAAGTCTCGAATCTGAAAAACAAACTCGTTTCCAGGTGCATCTGAAATTCGAAATGGCTGGATCTGGAAGCTCAGAGGCTAGAATGCCCATTTTCTCAGGTGAGAACTATGAATTTTGGAGGATTAAGCTGGTAACCATATTCAAATCATATGGTTTATGGAGTTTGGTAGAGAAGGGGTTTTCAATCCCAAATTCAAAGAAGAAGAAGGAGTCTGAGGATATTTCAGACGAAGAGGTTGATGAGAAAACAGCTGCGATTCTCATGAAGGATGCGAAAGCATTGGGTATCATTCAAAATGCGTTTCTGATCACATTTTTCCACAGATCGCAAATGCAGATTCTGCGAAGATGGCTTGGGAATTGCTATATGCTGAATATCATGGTGGAGAGCATGTCAGATCGGTAAAACTTCAAAACCTCACACGTGAATTTGAGTATACTAGGATGCGTGATAATGAATCCTTATCTGACTATCTTACTAGACTAACTGAATTGATTAACCAAATGAAAACATTTGGTGAAGTTCTGTCAAATGAGAGGCAGGTTCAGAAGGTTTTAATTAGTCTTAGTAAGAAGTATGACCCTATATGCATTGTGATTGAAAACACAAAGACACTAGAAACTGTGGAGTTGCAGGAAGTGATTGCCATTTTGAAGAGTCAGGAGCAAAGGCTTGAAATGCATAGTGTTGATACAGTTGAGAAGGCATTTGCCACATTCACTGTGAATCCTAAAGGTTAGAACAAAAATGCTTCTCAGTCTGGTTCATCTAAGTCACAGAGAAACTGGAACTCTAAAGGGAAGTCATGGGAGGCAAAAGACAAGTCACAGCAGAATAATTATTCTGCACAGAACCACACTCCAACACAGTTCTCAAACCAGGAAAATACAAAGCCTCAATGCAAGGTGTGTTCAAAGCATCATTTTGGTGAGTGCAGGTATAAGGGAAAACCAAAATGCTATAACTGTGACAAATTTGGACATCTTGCTAGAGACTATACAGTGAACAAGAATGTGCAGAAGGCTAATTGTGTAAATCAAATGGAGGAGACAGGGAACTTGTTTTATGCAAATTGCACAACCACTGAGACCAAAACCAGTGGAGAGTGGTATGTTGATAGTGGCTGCAGTAACCATATGACAGGAAACTTAGAGTTGCTGGTTGATGTGAGAACTAATGTGGCTGGGAAAGTACATATGCCAACTGGTGCACTTGTGAATGTAGCTGGTATTGGCTCACTGAGGATTGATATAGTAAAGGGCAGAAAATACATCAGAGAAGTAATGTATCTGCCAGGATTGAAAGAAAATCTGCTAAGTGTTGGGCAGATGGATGAGCATGGGTACTGTCTGGTGTTTGGAGAAGGGATGTGCAGGGTATTTGATAGTCCATCCATGGATTATCTCATCATCAAAGTACAAATGAAGAGCAATAGATGCTATCCTGTCTCATTTCTAGCTGAAAAACAGTTACTGATGAAGACTAGTTTCTCTCAATTGGAAGAACAAAGTGGTGTGTGTGAAGGGTTCCAATTTGGAAAACAACACAGGAATGTTTTCCAAAAGAACAAGCTCAAAGAGCAAGCAAAGCACTCGAGCTAGTACATGTAGATCTCTGTGGTCCCATGAGAAACGAATCTGTTGCAAGGAACAGATACTTTATGCTGATTATAGACGATTTCACAAGGATGATTTGGGTATACTTCTTGAGAAACAAGTCAGAAGCCTTCTGTTGTTTCAAGAAGTTCAAGTCCATGACTAAATTACAAACTGGACACAAGGTGCAATGCATAAGAAGTGACAGAGGTGGAGAGTTTCTGTCTACTGAATTTGTGGAGTTTTGTGAAGCTCATGGTATTCAAAGGCAGCTTACAATGGCCTATACTCCTCAGCAGAATGGAGTAGTTGAGAGGAAGAATAGGACTGTCATTGAGATGGCAAAATCAATGTTACATGAGAAGGGAATGCCTTATTTTCTAGGGAGTTTCACTAAAACACCCAAAATGGAGGTTGAAATTATAAAAAAAACCCAAGTACTATTTAAACATATAAACACACCCAAAACCTATCATTACACACACTCAAAACCCATTTATAAACACACCCAAAAAGTTGAATTTGGAGTTGATTTTGGGTGTGTTTCTATGTTTAAATAGTGCTTGGGTTTTTTTATAAATACATGTCTAGGATTGGGTTTATTTATAAATTTGTATATTTTCTATGGGCAGAAGCTGTGCATACATCTGTCTATTTGCTGAACAGATGTCCTACCAAAGCTCTGCACAACATTACTCCATTCGAAGCATATAGTGGAAGGAAGCCTAGAATTGCACATCTGAAAGTGTTTGGTTCTCTATGTTATGTTCATGTGCCAGCTGAATTGAGACACAAGCTGGATCCTAAGAGCACAAAGGGAGTGTTTGTGGGATATGCAACTTGTGAAAAAGGCTATAGAGTCTTTGATCCGGTTTCTAATAAAGCTTGTACTGTCAAGGGATGTGACATTTGATGAAGAAGGTGCTTGGCATTGGACAGACAACAATGGTTCAGTTATGACACCATACACAATTGAAAACCAAGTAGACTTGGACTTGCAATCTGACAAGTCTAATGGGAACTCTACTGGTACACCCCAAACTTTGGATATGCAGGAGAGAACTTCATCAACTCCATGTGATATAAGCAGTGAAGAAAGGAGAACTCAAGCTTATGATCACACTCCTTTAAAATGGAGAAAGCTTGATGATGTTCTGGCTCAGTGTAACCTGTGTATCATGGAACCAGAAAAATATGCTGATGCTGCTCAGGATGAATCTTGGCTTAAGGCTATGAAAGATGAATTGCAGATGATTGAAAAGAATGGAACATGGGAATTGGTGGACAGACCAACTGAAAAACTAGTGATTGGAGTTAAGTGGGTTTACAAGACAAAATTGAATTTGGATGGCTCTGTGCAAAAGAATAAAGCAAGGTTAGTTGCTAAGGGGTATGCTCAGAAGCCAGATTGGACACCATTAGAACACTTATTGCTCTAGCTGCTCAAAAGGATTAGAAACTGTACCAACTTGATGTGAAATCTGCCTTCCTTAATGGTGTGCTACAAGAGGAAGTCTACGTCAATCAACCTGAAGGTTTTGTAATTAAAGGCAAAGAAGACAAAGTTTATCGTCTACATAAAGCTCTCTATGGTCTGAAGCAAGCACCAAGGGCTTGGTATGGAGAGATAGACAGCTATTTCACTCACTGTGGTTTCAAGAAAAGTCTAAGTGAAGCAACCTTGTACACCAAGGAAAGGGGAGATAAGGATATTCTAATTGTCTCTATCTATGTAGATGACATTGTCTACACAGGGAGCAATAAGGAATTGCTAGATGAATTTAAGGAAGATATGATGACTAAATATGAGATGACAGATTTAGGTCTCTTGCATCATTTTCTTGGCATGGGAGTTATTCAAACTGAGTCTAGTATATTTCTACATCAAAAGAAGTATGCTAGCACCTTGTTGAACAAATTTGGCTTGACTGAATGCAAATCTGTAACCACACCTCTTGTTGCCACTGAGAAACTAGCTAAGGATGATGGAAGTGGAGCTGCAAATGAAGAGCAATACAGGAGCATTGTAGGTAGTCTCTTGTACCTAACTGCTACTAGACCAGATATTATGTATGCCTCAAGTCTGCTTGCTCAGTTCATGCATTGCCCCACAAATAGGCACTATGGAACAGCTAAAAAAGTCTTGAGATACATCAAAGGAACTCTAGACTATGGTCTAGAATATGTGAAAGGCAAGAGATCAATACTAATTGGTTACTGTGACAGTGATTGGGGAGGTTCAGTTGGAGATAGCAAAAGCACATCAGGGTATGCTTTTACCTTTGGCAGTGGAGTGTTTTCTTGGGCTTCAGTCAAACAGAACTGTGTAGCATTGTCCACTGCAGAAGCTGAGTACATCAGTGCAGCTGAAGCTACTACACAGGCTATTTGGTTACGTTTTGTGCTAGAGGACTTTGGAGAGCTACAAACTGAAGCTACCTCATTGCATTGTGACAACATCTCAACAATTGCAATCACTAAGAACCCTGTGTTTCACCAGAAGACTAAGCACATTGATAGAAGATACCATTTCATCAAGGATGCTTTGCAAGAAGGAGTTATTAATCTGGAATATTGTCCCACGAATGAGCAACTGGCTGACATATTCACCAAACCTTTGGCCAAAGATAGATTCAATTATCTCAGAGAGATGCTTGGAGTGAAATCAGCTCAAGACTTAAAGGGGAGTGTTGAATTATAAGTGCTCAAGCTGATTTCATAATTAGTAGTTTTTCTGTTTATTTGTATTTTCTGGTTTTAATCCAAGTGGCATAGGTTGATTGGTTAGTTTAATGGAAGGCTGAGATTGCATTGTGATGTAATGCATCCAGCTGGCACTGTATAACGGATATACTCTCACACCAAGAGTGTGAGCAAAACTGTACAAAACTCTGGCAGTCTAATAGAAGGAGTATGCTCTCTCTGCTACACGTATAGCAGAGGAGATTTGGATTTCATCTTGCTCTCTCTTTTCTCTTCTTACCAAAACTCACACACAGAATCACAAAAAACACTAACATTTGATGCTTTGGAAAAAGATGTTATGGATGCTCTCTCATCTATGCTGATTCCACCTCTTTATACCATTGGTCCTATCCAATTACTTCTCAATCAGATACCAGAAGATTCTTTGAGCCCTATCGGATACAGTTTATGGAAAGAAGAAACTGAATGCCTTCAATGGCTAAATTCCAAGGCCCCAAATTCAGTTGTTTATGTGAATTTTGACAGTATAGCGGTCATGACACCGCAACATCTTGTGGAGTTTGGCTGGGGACTTGCAAATAGCAAGTTTCACTTCTTTTGGGTAATTAGGTCCGATTTGGTTATTGGAGAATCTGCATATTTGCCACCTGAGTTTGTGGCGGAAACGAAGGAAAGAGGTCTAATAGCAAGTTGGTGCCCACAAGAAGAAGTCCTTAACCACCTATCAGTTGTGCTGAAGTATAAGTGATTTAGCTGATATTAGTTTGTAATTAGTTTAAATTTTCAGTTTTAAATGTGAGCCCTTGGATCACAGTCCAAGTGGACAGCTAAGATGTAATCTTAGAATAGAAGAATGGATGCTAGATTTGGATGATGTAATTTGGGAATATCCTGTTCCCGACTGTTATGAGTGCACAGTGGGTGCGTGAGAAAAGTAACAGAATTCATTTTTTGCTCTCTCTCTCTCTCTCTCTCTCTCTCTCTCTCCAAAATCTAACAAGTTGGAGGGTTTTTAACACACAGCGGTTGGAATTCAACCATGGAGAGTCTGACTGCAGGAGTGCCTATGCTCTGCTGGCCGTTTTTTGCTGACCAGCAAACCAATTCTTATTATACCTGCAATGAATGGAGCAGTGGCATGCAGATTGATAACGATGTCGAGAGAGATGGAGTGGAGATGCTTGTTAGAGAGTTGATGGAGGGAGAGAAGGGTAAGAAAATGAAAAAGAAGGCTAAGGAGTGGAAGAAACTAGCAGAAACTGCAACTGATCCACATGGCTCCTCATCCATAAACTTAGATAATTTAGTCGATCGAGTGCTGTTAAGAAAAGACTAGATGCTATGCATAAAAAATAAAAATCGCCACACATTATTGTTGGTGTCTCTAGCATTACTCTGTATATATATTACGCTTATGTTTTTTCTACAGGTGTGATATCGATGTTGAGTTGTGAAGATACATTTCAACTAGGAAAAAAAAAAATATTTTCTATTTAGTGCCCGTTTAGCATTGCTTATTTGGGGTTATAATAAGTGATTATTTTGAAAATTTTGAAAACCCACCGAGTTTGGTAAGAGATACAAAAATCACTTATTATGAATAATTGATGTGGGAGAAAGCAATTAGGGAAAACAGCTAATCAGTTTTGGAGAGGCAATGGACTTTAATGAAAATTTCAAAATTCCTAAAATAACCCCATCTATATCACGCTCACGTCTCTTTTCTCCTCGTTTCAGTCTTCTCCTTCCCATCGCTCTCTTTCACGTTCATCAGTCTAAAGCTCCCTCTTCTCCTTCTCTTCCACTTGTTCTTCAATTTTTCTTGTTGGATCAATTGAAGCACTCTAAAAGCCAGAAGGCTCAGGTAAGAGACATACTAGGTTTATATTTCTTTTCAATTTCATTCTTCTCAATTAGGGTAGGGAAGCTCACTCATAATGGTACAATTTACAAATCAAACTAGTATGATAGCAGCGACCAGTTAGATATTTATTATCCTTCTTCCTATAAGCCCTAGAAATACCGATGTCATAGTCACTCATTCCCTGGAGAAACCCCAAATGCATACCTTGTGATCTTCCTTGAGATTACTAATTCAGCAATGATAACAAGAAGATAGAATGCTTGGAAAGGCGTGAGACAAACTAAGCTCTAATGATCTCCATGTGCTCAAAAATCAAACCCAATCTAATTCATCTTCGTGGTTTAATGAATATGGCGCTTTGCTTGAAAAAAGACTTGCACACTGTAGTTCAAATATCCTTTATAAAAAAAAATAATTAAAAAATAATTATATATATTTGCAGAGAGCTTTTATTGAAGGATCCCTCAAATAATTATTTGAGGGACACTCTTGTAGAACCCAATCCGTATTGTATTTCACTAATCTAGACCGTTTAGTTTGTAAATTTATATATCAATGCCCTCTTTATCAATCTCAAATAAATTTATTTTAGGAATCCTTCAATTGAAACTCAGTATTATATCATGTTAATGTAATTACTTAAATCATGTTAGTCAGTGATCGATCTTTTTCCAGTTTCTTTCAACCTTATATTATTTCTTGCTAGATCGACAAGTTGTTTTTACCTCAAGATGTACACCACATATAAGTTGGTCCAAAGAGTTGAGTAGCAATCCACACAATAAAGTGGTACCAAAATTAATGGATACACATGCTAACTTCAGTAGCCTTTTCAAACCTACAAATACTTGGCTGAAGGAACTGCAAAGTTATGCAATAATTTACCTACTTTTGGTCCTAACGAAAGTGAAGTTAAAGGACCACGGGAACGATTTTGGAAATTAAGGGACTCAAATGCAAATTGGGTCTAAATTCAAGGACTAATAAAACGATTAACCCGTACAAACTAATATGTAGGTTTAGTATTTACTCCAGGCATGGATATATTACCACTTATATGTACAATGAATATATTAATTTTTAAAAGCCTAACCATTTTATAGATTATAAGTGAAACATGCGTTTCAAGTATATAGCACCATATGTAATTAATAATAGGACTTTTTACAAGCCCATAAATGGGATCTTATTTAGAATTTTGACACCTATTTAACACCACTTAACCCAGTCTTAATCGTGTGAACCTTCCCAACAAAAAAATAAATAAATAAACCCATACTACAAACTCTCCTCTACCACGTCCCTTCAACTTCACCACTTTTTGTTTTCATCTTCGCTGTTGATGATTATTGACCTTCGACCGTTTCCACTCAAGGACGGATCCATGATTTTAAAATGGGGTGGGCTAAATTTAGGTACTAAGCATATAGAAAACTCAACAATGCCATGTGATTTCATTGATAACCAAAAAAAAATAAAAACCAGCAAGAACAATAAAATCAATTACAAATCCTATTTGATAATTCATAACTCATAAACTGAAACTGATGCCCCAATTGCAAATCCTAATTGATAATTGATAATGTCAATTGCAAATCCTAATTGATACTTCATAAATTCTAAAAAAATCCTCAAATTAAAGCATCAAGAAATTGAGAGAAGCTTACATGATGAATATAGGAACTTGGTTCACTTGAATTAAGTCTCGAAGGACTGTGTTTTTTTTTCTCTACATGCAAGGGTAGGGTGGTGCTTCTTTTCTTCTTTTTTTTTTTTTTTTACGTGTTGTGTGTGAGTTATTTTTTCTCTTTTTTTCTTTTGTTGTGCTGTGTGTGAGTTCCCTGTCCTCTCCCCCCTCCCCCCCTCTCTTTTTCTTTCCTTCTCCCTCTCTCTCTTCCCCGAGAACTAAATGAGGTTAGGTTATTTAAATTGGGTGAGCTAGGATTTTATTTTTTTGGCTCGAAAAAAGAAGCCACCTGAGCTATAGCCCAGGTTTGCCAAACTAAAGGTCCGTCCTTGGGTGAGCTAGGATTTTATTTTTTTGGCTAGAAAAAAGATGGAAAAAAAGAAGCCACCCAAGCTATAGCCCAGGTTTGCCAAACTAAAGGTCCGTCCCTATTTCCACTTCAACCTAGTTACAATCAAACTATTTTATAACTAAAACACTTCAAATTAATGATAATTTTACTAAACTAAAACACAGTTCTATTAGACTACTTATGGAGAAAAACTTAGGTGCAACGGGATAACACTATTTCGCTTTCCCTGTTTCATAAAAGTCTTTCTCCTACTTATGACTATGGTTGCAGCTTGCAATATTCTTAAAATTAAAAAATTAAAAAAGTAGCTATTCTGACGGACATTACCTAACTTTTGCTGTATAAATAATCTGAATTTGCAAGCACTGCAATGCACACACAAAAGCTAAGATGGATTCCACAGAAGTAGCTACTAAGCCACATGCTGTTTGCATTCCAGCTCCTTTTCCAAGTCATATAAAGGCAATGCTTAAATTTGCAAAGCTCCTCCACCACAGAGGTTTTCATATAACCTTTGTTAACACAGAGTTCAATCACAAGCGCTTTCTTAAATCTCTAGGACCCAATTCCCTTGATGGCTTGCCTGATTTTCAATTCGAAGCCATCCCGGATGGCCTTCCGGATTCAGATGAAGATGCCACACCAGATCTCACCTTGCTTTGTGAATCCATCAGAAAACAAAATTTCTTGGCTCCCTTTCATGCCCTCCTTGCAAAACTCAACAATGATGCCATAGCAAACATCCACCAATCCTCCAGTGACTTGCATAGTTTCAGATGGTTTCATGTCCACGTTCACAATCACAGCTGCTGAAGAAATCGGAGCCCCTATAGTGCTGTTCTACACTATAGCTGCCTGCAGCTTCATGGGATTTAAACAACTTCGCGCCGTGGTCGAAAAAGGACTTGCTCCACTCAAAGGTGAAATATATAACTATTAATTGAAGCACTTGTTGTTTCTAACATGGAACTTTAACTGTGTTTCTTCAAATGAATTTCTTCAATTGTCTATTGCAGATGAGAGCTGTTTCACAAATGGCTATCTGGACACCGTAATAGATTGGATCCCAGGAATGAGAGATATCCGTTTGAGGGATCTCTCGTCCTTCTTGCGAAACCACAAATTCGGATGATATCATGTCTAACTTCATCACGGAAGGAACCGATAGAGCTCATGAAGCTTCAGCAGTTGTTCTTCATACTTTTGATGCCTTGGAGCCAGACGTTTTGGATGCTCTCTCATCTATGCTTCCCCATGTGTACACCGTTGGCCCTCTTCAATTGCATCTCAATCACATACCAGAACACCCTTTGAAAATGGGATACAGTCTATGGAAAGAAGAAACTGAATGCCTCGAGTGGCTAAACACCAAGGCACCAAACTCAGTTGTCTATGTGAATTTCGGCAGTATAGTAGTCGTGACACCAGAACAGCTTGTGGAGTTTGGGTGGGGACTTGCAAATAGCAAGCTTCCATTCTTTTGGGTAATTAGACCAGATCTTTTTATTGGAGAATGCGCTATTTTGCCGCCAGAATTTGTGGCTGAAACTAAGGAAAGAAGTCTAATAGCTGGGTGGTGCCCACAAGAGCATGTCCTTAACCACCCATCAGTTGGAGGATTTTTAACGCACAGCGGTTGGAATTCAACAGTTGAGAGCATTACTGCAGGAGTTCCTATGCTCTGTTGGCCATTCGTGGGAGACCAGCAAATGAACTGTCGCTATACTTGCAATGAATGGGGCATTGGCATGGAGATTAGTAATGATGTGAAGAGGGATGAGGTAGAGAAGCTTGTCAAAGAGTTAGTGGAGGGAGCGAAGGGTAAGAAGATGAAAAATAAGGTCATGGAGTGGAAGAAACTTGCAGAAGAAGCTACTGGTCCACATGGTTCTTCATCCACAAACTTGGAAAATTTAGTGAATCAAGTGCTATTAAGAAAAAGCTAAAGATTTTACCAAAAGATGTTAATTATTATTTTTATTGCTATTTTCTCAAATAATCAACTAGATAGCAATATGTTCTCAGGCCTGTAAAACCTGTGTTACTATATCTTGAATTTTGTTTTGCTCAAATTATATGTTGTTGTCTTCCATAAATACTATATGCTTCAGTGTTGACGGCTTACAACTCTAATTGCAAAGACAATTCAGATGGTAAATAAATATCTAAACAATAGAAAGAAATAACGAGAAATATTGTAATTACCAATGAAGACAATGTTAATATAGCTAGAATTTTATTTTGCTCTAAGATTTTAATTAATTATGTTCAAATTATATATTGATGTCTTCCACAAATACTATATGCTCTAATGTTGACTGCTTAGAGCATTTTCACACCATTTTTTGCCAAGCAATGGGAGGCAAGGGCTTGTACTATTCATGTGAATAATGTATGCCCTAGCAATTTTATTGTTGCTTTTCCACCCTTTGCCAAGCAATTACTATTCACAACAAATTAATTTTATTTTTTATATTTATAAGATTAATTTTGATAAGATTTTCGGATAAAATATTTGAATAAGATTTTCGATTGCCACGTGTCCATATTTATTATCAAATTCACATCTCAGATTTTGGATAAGATTTTCAGTTGCTACTATTGCACCACTTGTCATCTCTATCTTCTAAATCCTATTATAAAACCACACCCTCAAGTCACACCAATCATCGATATCCTCTCTATCCTTTCATTTATCAAATTTTACAAAACACATTCTACTTTCAATGTCTTACACGAGGAGGTTGTTGGAGAGGTTCGAGTGAGAAAATGAAGAAAGAATGCACAAACGTGCTAAAGAAGAAAGGGAGTGGGAAGCAGAAGATGATCAAGTTGTTTTAAAGGTGGGTATGCTCGATCAATCAAGCCAACACCACTGTGGCGGCCGTGGCCTGAACGTGGACAAACCTAGGCACTCTTGAGGTAAGAATCTCTTGGAATATTACTTTATCCCAAATTTGTTGTACTCTAGTGTTGATTTTCGAGGGCGATATAGAATGCAGCCCCATTTGTTCAATAAAATCATGCATGTTGTTTGCAATTACGACGCATACTTCGTTCAGAAGTACGATGCTCTTGGGGTTTTGGGTCCTTTTCTGGAGCAAAAACTTACAGCTTCTTTACAGTTGCTTGCGTATGGCGCATTTGTAGACCAAGTGGATAAGACTGCTAGAATGGGAAAATCCACTATCCTAGAATGCTTGCTCAAATTATATATTGACGTCTTCCATAAATACTATATGCTCCCGTGTTGTAATTGCAAAGACAATTCAGATGGTAATAAATATATAAGCAATAGATAGAAATATTGAGAAAATATTATAATTACTAAAGAAGACAGTGATATATACAAAAGATTGTTATACTGCGACACAAATTCGCCACAAGCAAAAAATTTTTTTTTTTTTTTTTTTTTTTTTTTTTTTTTTTTTTAAAATTTAAGACCTTTACTTTTGAGAGTTTGGGTGATAACATACTAAACTCATACACACTAGATGGATACTAGGATTCGAACCCAAGATCTTTCTTGAGGGAGCATTTGCTTCAAACCACTATACTAGTGAGTTCTTTGCAATCAAGAATGTTTTAGAATCTTCATCCATGATTTTATACTGTTTAAACAAATCCTCTTAATTACTTGACGTATTTGACATCTGATTAAGGTTTCACTCTAAAGTTTCATCAGTTATCAAATTATACATATGTTTGATTGCTATTAAGCTTCTTTGTTGACAGTCTCCTTTGATCTCCTATAATGGCTGCGGTCAATGCATCAATGCTTATGTGTCACATTCTCTTCAACAGTTTCTTCACCTCAGTAAGAGACCTTGGATAAAAAAACCATGAAGTGGAAGAAACAGGAACAAGCAAGACATGTGTGCCATCTGTTTAGCTTCCGACATGTGTTGAGCAAAATTAAGTTAATTATGTTAACAGCTAACATGGGGACTCCCTGCGCCTAGCCGGCCGCCTAGGGCCTCCAATCCCTATATATACCTAGTATTAGGGTGGGTACAATTTTGGGTCAATCCGATAATTAGAGAGTTGGGTTAGATTGACCTAATAATGAGCGAGTCTTGGATTAAAAAAATTAAACCGCTATGGATTCACATTGTCCACTGAATTTTGAAAAAATTGGAGAGAGGTGTAGAGAACTCTTGGAAGAATAGCAGTGAAGATGAAAACAAGAAGTGATGAAGTTGAAGCCACGTGGCAGATGAGAGTTTGCAGTCAGGGTTTTCTTATTATTTTGTATTTAAAGATAACGGATGTTTTTTGGGAGTTTCACTAAAACACCCAAAATGGGGGTTGAAATTATAAAAAAACCCAAATACTATTTAAACATATAAACACACCCAAAACCCATCATTACACACACTCAAAACCCATCATTAGTAAATTTGTAATGTTTTTTTTGTTTTTTTAAGTTGGTAAGGTTCACACTGTAAGGCTGGGTCAAGTGGTGTTAAATGAAAGAACATGTGTCAAAATTCCAAATAAGGACTAGAGGGGGAACAAAGAAAATGGGGACAAAAGATCTAAACTCTATAAATATGGCCCAAAATATAGAAAAACTCTACAATACTCAATTCTTAGTAAAAAAAAAACCCATTTGACTTTTGAAAAACCATAAAATTACAACAATGTCATCAATGTACCAAAAAATTACAACAATGTCATCATTGTTTTTTTTCCCTAAAAATCATAATGCTAGGATACTAATGGTATTTCACACATCATTCAAATTTTTTATAAATAAATAATAAATTTTAATTTTATTAAAAATAAAAAAATAAAAATAAAAACTACGCCTGGTCCTTTTTGAGTTTTTTTTTTCCTTCGTCAATTCAAATCTTTTAGGGTTTATATGTAAATTCAATGCTAGAAATGTGTTTTATTATAAATTTCTCTTAATTATTGGAGGTATATAGATGATTCTTGATTGGTTGGGAGTATAACGGTCATGACACCAAATCAAGTTGTTGAGTCTGGCAGTATAAAAAAAAGGGAGATACTGTAACACAAAATTACAGAATTGAAGAGGGGATATAATGAACCAAATTATCCTTACATCGGCAAGAAACCGAAGTCTAATTATTATTCTTTTTGTCTTGATCGATCAAGTGGTTTCCTTATTGTCTTGATCAACTGATATTTCTTTGCACAAATATTTGTGTGTCGAAAATTTGACTATCTATAACCAATGACTAACTTCTAGATTATATTATAAGTAACTAGTAGCAAAAGGTGCCCGCGCGATGCTGCGGGTTTTAAAATTGCGTGAAATGTGTATAAAGCGATGAAAATAGGCAGGGAACATCTCAACTACCTAATTGCCAAAATACTCAGGGTTTACCAACATGTTCAAATATTGTAATCATCTGAACCTATCATTACAACAACAAATTAACACCAACCAATTGTCAATTGATGCCATTAGCTAATTCCTATAGTTTATTCACAAAACTTAAAACAATTAATTGAAATTTCAGCCTAGAAACTCACCCCTTACTTAAAACATAACCAAAAACACCAACCAAACCACTCCATCCAAAGCAACGAAAGACCACCTGCAAAAAATCAAAAGAAAACAAAAAAAAAAAAAAAAAAAAAAAAAAAAAAAAAAAAAAAAAAAAAAAAAAAAAACAGAAGAGAAGAAATTAGCTTGAGTATTTCATGCACAATCTTTTCATTAAACCAAAAAATTAGCTTGACCAAAATCTGTACGAAAAGAAACCACTCAAGACTAACCAAATTGATGTGTTTTGGGTAAAGAAAAACATTGTAAAGGCACAGGAAAATGGCTGTTTAAATGATCCTAGATGCATTTGAAACAAAGAGTATATGATCAAAAAGCTACTGGTCTAAACAATCAAAAGTTACCTATGCAAAAGTCACCATAAACAATCAAAATCCCAAAACAACTATCTCTGCATTCACTACTACAAAACAACCCTTGCGCGACCCAAATTTTGCGCGACGAATAATTTTTCGTCGCGCAAAGACACTTTGCACGACGAAAATCAAAACTTCGTCGCTAAAAACCTTGCGTGACCAACTTTTGCGCGACGAATTTTTTTTCGTCGCTCAAAGCGACTTTGCGCGACGACAATTCAAAGTCTTGCGCGACCA